TGTAGACAATTCATTAGGGGGCTGAAAGTGTTCGCTGCTTTAACACCTTCCTTTAACTCGACTAGATCCAAAAATAAGTTCACGGGGAAATTCATCTCATGGTTAGGTAAACAAGTTAACACAAAAATAATCAAAGATGATTTTTATATATTGGTGATTTTTGTTGACTCGTCAATTGGTATGGAAATTATACTTAATGATTTTATGGTTTCAGAATATATGAAGAAGAATATAAATATTTCTTGAGCAATATGATCGATAATATTGGAGCATGCATTAGTTGAATGAAATATACGACAGATATCGAGACCGTTTAGCTCTTGTAAATCGATTTTTGGTTCCATTGAATTGAATGATTGATTCGCCAACATAATTTTATAAACCGTACCTACCAAATATTTTACATGTTATAGCCTTACTTGTGGATATGTTTTTCAAAACAATAGTTTCTATGGTTTTATTTTCAGATTCTTCGAGAGTTGATCGAAAGATCGAGACTGATTTTTAAAACACAGCCAATCATATTTCTCGTAAAAAAATTTTTGTCAGCGAGGTTCCAAACATCATGGTAGTCATGATTTGAATTACTTGAGCTTAAAGGCTGGATTGAATCGTCTTTTGTTGAAGCCGTTGAAGGTAAATTAACTGAATTACTTACAGTTGCGGCAGACGTTGTTGGTTCGTCGGAATTCGGTCTCAGTTTAACAGAAGGTTAATTTTCAAGGGTTTGATATACTTTTTATTAGTAAAATCAATTAACAAAAAATAATTGTCATACGCATTATGATAAATTTATAAACTGAAAAAATTACAACATTAAAATGCTCAAAAACAGCGGGCAATAGAATTATACTTAAGTGAGGTAACCACGTGAACGAAACAACGCGGTGAATTACAAGGTGCCAGACATTGAGTTAAAACAACACTAGAGAAGCAAACCTCATTATCACACGTCGAAAAAAGTGTAACCACTTTTGAACTTTGACGACGTAGCTTTGATACCACTAAACATTTGAAAGTAAACATATTTATGTCTCATTTACACGCGAGACAAGAACAATACCATCGCTCGGATTAGACAAAGACAAAGATATAACTTTACGATGGTGGGCCAGTGTTGACTACCGTATGAAATTTTACCCATAACAACTAAGAAACAATTTTTTTTTTAAACAATTTTGTAATAAAATAAATTAATTTAAATATTCTAAATAATATATTTCGAATTGAATAGAATAGGTATAAATAATAAAATAACTGGAAATATTTGGTTAAAAGGGTTTATATTCAGTGTAAAATCAAACTGCGCTGTGAAGCATCAGTTTTGTATACAATTGTCTTTTAGACTCTTTTTTATAAGTTTGTGTGGATATTTTACTTTCATGATACAATCTTATTTTTACGTGTGTAAAAATAATAGCATTTAATAATAAAAGTGAATGATCAACTTGTACTGATAATAAATAATCCCCAGGGTGTATTGCAAATTATATTATAATTTAAAAAACAAATAAAAAAAAAAAAAAAAAATTTATAAAAAAAATTATTTATGTTTATTTACTTTTTTATTTTATATTTTTATTTTTATGATAAACATTTATTATTATTATTATTATTTTGTACAATTATTATTTAAAATTGATAATAAATTAAGAAAAACAATGAATTAATTTTTTTGTACAAAAGTCTCCAGCACTGCGAGCTTGGCAGAAGTGCCAAGCTCGCAGTGCGTTCAACGGGTCCCTAAAACGTTCATCGGGTCCCTAAAAAAAGGGATCGGTCCAGCCCTAACCACTACCGTTCTTCCTATATTTTATTATTATTGGCAAAATGTTTAAAAACAGTATAAAGCATATTATTTCATAAATTATAAATTCTCCCACTAATGTGGGAAAACCAAAATGATTTTTTAATGGTAACACTGATTCTAAATTACAATTATCAGTGTTTTATTTCAATTATAGCCTTATTTACGATATTATCAATACAAAAACCATAAACTTACACGTGAAAAGTAATTCCGCATGATTTATTAATGTTTTGTGACCTTGAATCGCATTCTTTCACTACGCATTTAGCCATTTTGGCGATTGTTACTGTCATGTGTCGCTATGTTCAACTCGGTTGACGCCACATTGAATAATGAATTGACGTTTGCTACGCATATGCCTGTGGACATATGTGTAGTAGCAACGATTTTAGGCGGTAATTACTCATCTATGTAAGTATTATATCAATGGTGCCAGACAAGTCTCCACTTGTTGTGAGAATCCCGTATGAGGCGACGCGGTAACTGTTTAGGAAAGATAGATATACATATATATACTATAACAGTCCACTGCTGGACATAGGCCTCTCCTTAGAAAGGAGGTTTTGGCTTACTATGTACACCACGCTGGCCAGACAGGTTGAAATAGGGTTTGTTTCAAGGTTTCCTTCTCTTTACAGTGCTGTTGTCCTGCGTAATTTGCTCCCTTAGTCGGCTCTTACAATGCCCACGGGGTGAATAGGGGTGGTGATATTCCGTATTCTTAATCCGCCACCATTGTATTTGGATAATTTTGACTTTATAAATTTTTTTTTTTGTTGAGGTTACAAAATTTGACTTTTTTTTTCAAATTCTTTTATTTTTAACACGTTATTTGAAATTACTAAGTGTGTACTACCAATTTTTTTTATTTATTGCAGGTTTCCTATAAAGCCGAGTTTTAGGGCAAAATCTAAGATTTTTATAAAAGCTTATACCTTACCTTTCTCTTGATGAGATCATTTTAAGACCTCTGACTTTTAAGTGTTGACGAACATTAGAAGGATGGAACATTGTAGTTGACATATTTAAACAAAATTAATCCAATTTAAAGACCAGTGATAGATAAAACTTTTGTTAATATCAATGATGATTTTTGTAGTAATAAATAGTCCTATATTAATTAAAATCCACCCTTGTATCACTTTTTAAACCTAATTTTCCTAACCGACTTTTCGAATTTATCGATTTTGCGTATCGATAGTTGTTACCGCCACGGTTGTTTGGCAACAGTCAATGTAGTGCACTTTCATTATACTGTTATTACACTAGTGATGCGCAAAATGTATCACTGAGCTGAAAAGATTGATACATATCATTTCGCTCTAAAGATATATATCACTCATCTAGCTCACTAGCTCATTTAGCTCACTAACTCCTTTAGCTCACTAGCTCATTGATCCGATTCAATTGATTGGTCTCTCAATTAATTCATTTCTTCATCTAGATCGTTTAGCTCAGTATACTCGTATATCACTCACTTCAACCCTCTCTCGCCTCACAAATCTTTCTTTATTTTCTTATAAACCTAAATTCAGTTTTTGAAACTACATTTTTAACCTATTTTTTTTTAATACAAAATTATTCATTTTGATAAGATAGCATAATTATTAACAGCCTTTTATATAATAATTAAAAATTAAAAATAAGAAATTATTTCTTGTACTTTTTTTTTAGGTTGTATAATAGAAATCATATATAATTTAATTTTCCTTGTACTTGTCAGGCTTAATTCTTAAGTAATTTTAAACTTTGATCCTATAAAAATAATGTACATTTTGCATAAAGAAACTAGCGTGAACTCTATCTCACTCATTTATCTTTAGTCTCACTCGCTCATGAAACAAAGATCGGCGTCGTTGAGCTAGTGATCTAGTGAGCTAGTAGTGAGTTACTGATATATTCGGAGCGAGTGTGAGTGAGTGATAGATTTTATCGTCGTGAATGATATACATCTTTTATATCACTCACTCAGGAGCTACACAACTCTATATTACACAGAATATGTGTGTGTGTGAAATAGTTAATGTGTTGTTTTATTTTTTATTTGTGAGTTCCGTAGTGACAGCCAATTGCTTTTGTATAGGAGTCCGAGAATATGTGCGTGTTGAAGATTCCCCCCTGCAAAAAATTACAGACTATTTTGTATCGCGAAAAGACGCTATGGCTACTGCCCTCCGATCAGCCGGTGGCCTGTGTTGGTCTATGTCACACGAGGTGTCACTGTAGTTTAGAATTGAGACTTGTATTAAAATTTAATTCATTAAAAAGTAAAAAATAAGCCGAGACCGTAATTACTTCCTCGTCCATCGCAAATGTGTCGCCAGGCAAAAATGATCTATGTACCATTGTCTTCACACCTACGCGATGATGGCCTACAATTACGATAAACCTAAAAAAATATAATTCTACTGTTTATTTTATATGATGGACGTTAGACAGTCCTCGATAAACGAATGACAAAAATACATGCTTCTCTTTGTAACAGTCTAAACCCTATGATTCATATAAAATAAAGTGTATCCTGCTTTATAATTTTCAAAGTCAGGAAAAAAACTTAAACAATCAGTTCAAAATCGAAATAATAGGCAATCTAGTAACAACGAGTAAAGGATAAGGTAACTTGAGTTGGGTCGAGTTTATCGCAACTAACCTTTTTCTTTTTGTTAACGGGGGGAGATCCTCATGGATGTCCTCCGCCCAGGGGAAAGGGCGGAGGAGTCTGTCAGACTCCTACTGACTAAAACCCCCCGGTGTTCCGTCTCTCACCTACGCCGGGGATCGCGGGAACTGAGGTGACTTCCGCAATCCCCGACTGGTGCCGGCCCGCCGCTGCGGGCCACATCGCGTCAGCGAGGGGAGTGAGGCGTTTGACTCCCCTCGCAACTACACAGAGGGGCGCACGGGAACACAACGCGCCGTGTCATCGCAACTAACCTAACTCAAGTTGCCCAACACTAGTATTTAACTGTCAATGGATGTAAATAAAACATTCAAGGACTGTACATAAATATTTAAATTAATATTGGACAATGAAACGGTATACATTTTCTTAAAACTTAGAATATTACTATAATAATTTTTGATTAGCTCTCCATTTTACCAAAATCTCTTTCCAAAAAGCGTGTACACTGTGGTACCTAAACTCCACGAAATTATTATATAAGAATATATATATTTTTTTGGAATTAATATGTCTGTTAACAAAAACAACGAGAAACCTGGAGATGGTATTCGGTCTATGAGATCAACCACAGCGTTTAAAGTTATAAATTATGAATTATATGCTAAACCTGTAAGTATCTTACAACACATTCTAATTTCATAACCTAAATCATCATTAACACCACATTATATTATCATTATTAAAAAGTTTGAGTACCTACCAGAATGCTGGCTGCATGAATGGGTTTGTGCATCCACAACAATATTTTTATCAATGGAGATTCTACTGCTTGTGCGTTATAGTCATTCTTTTAGGAACAATAATGATGTAAAAAATTAAATTATTATAAGCTTCTGGCGTAAGGTTAAGATGATCTGTAGCGTGAAGTGACATTTTCTCTATCGCCAATCATTAATTAAACTAACTGTGGTTTATTTTGAAATAATGTTCATTGAAAGAGCATGGGGATACCCTATATTTATATATAAACTAGCTGACCCGGCAGACTTCGTACTGCCTCAATTGATAAATAAAAGACCTAAACTTTTGTATAAAATAAACAAACAAAAGGAATCCTTTTTTTTATGAAAACAATTCAAAAATGCTGGGATTTAAAAAAAAAACGAGCATTTTCATATTTATTCACCTTTTAAACCTTCTCTGGACTTCCACAAATAATTCAAGACCAAAATTAGCCAAATCGGTCCAGCCATTCTCGAGTTTTAGCGAGACTAACGAACAGCAATTCATTTTTATATATATATAGAGATAGAGATATACATATACTATAATACATAGTTTTTTTTTTTTGTTTCAGAATATTGTGGTGATGAGTATAGGTGCTGCATGTTTTGGTTTAGCACTTGGTTATATAGCATACATGCGAAGCAAATATGAATCAATGGGCTATTATAGTGCAGTGGATAAAGACGGCAAAGAAATATTTGAAAAGAGAAAATCTAAGTGGGATTAGTTCTGTTTTAATTTTAATAGTCCAAATGTGGTTTTTATTTTAAATAGATTTTAAGACACTACATTAAGTATTATTCATTTAAATACACATATTTATTTACTCTTTAAAAACAGTTGCATACTATTTAGCCTTTTTTCCTATTTTAGAAGATGTGTTGATTCACATTGTTTTTTTTTTAATATGTAGTAATATATAAAGTGGTGACATTAGCTTGCAATATTCCAAGAGAATAAAATCATTCTGTACTTCAAAAAAAAAAGGCCCTCTTAAAAATATCTATACTAATATTATAAATGTGAAAGTGTGTCTAACTGTTACATCTTCACGCTTAAACCTCTGAACCGATTTAGATGAAATTTGGTATGGACATACTTGGTTTTTGAGGTAAGACATAGTCTACTTTTTACCGCTATATATGCGGTCGGAGCCAAATATGCAAAAGCAAACATTTTGGCAATAAGATTTGAAATTACACATCACATCATAGAGGGGCACCTGATGGAAAGTGACCATTGCCACCCATGGACGTCTGCAACTCAGGAGTCACAAACGCGTTGCTGGCCTTTTAGGAAGGAGTGCGCTCTTTTCTCGAAGGTTTGAAGGTGAATTGTTCCACAGGTTGATTGTGCAAGGCAAAAAGTACAATTATCCAAGTGGTGGGGATGAAAATATTGCTGTGGGAAACAATGGCGGAAAGTTGCGAACGGTATTAGCGCGAACAATTCCTCGGAGAATTCTCTATGATATATACGATAGAGATACAATAGATACGTAACTCCAAGCCGATGATCGACTGGTCGGAGATATTTTGGTTATAGAGATGAGAACAGTATTCCATATGCGGCTGGACTTGCGCCTTATAGAGTTGGAGGCGATGAGCTGGAGTGAAATACTGCCTCGATCTGTTCAGCACACCGAGCTTCTTCGAGGCCTATTAGACCTTACTCTCAAAATGACCGCGAAACTGGACTTGACTCGATATGTCGATGCCTAGGATTCCGATAATAGGCGAGGCAGTAAGGGAGGTGCTCTCGAACGGAGTCGATACGACAAATGGTATCTTTTTGCGGTGGAGGGGCAAACCTATATCTTTTTTTGCGTTAAAATGGACTAGATTCAGTCGTCCCGATCTGAAACGTCGGTTAAGGAAGTTTCAATTTCACACACAAGTTTGTTTCGACTCTCGATGAAGTTTTCCCGAGAAATATTGGGGCGGCCGGTATAAAAGGCATCTCCCGTGCTATCATCTGCACAGCAATGGATGCTACTAATTCGCAACATATTATTGATATGCAGAAAAAACAGTGTGTGTGGTAGCACACAGCCTTGCCACCAGTATTTACAGACTCAAATCGGAGCATGCACCGTCGATAACGACCTTTATGCTTCTGCCTGCAAGGAAACTGGTGATCTAATTACATAGTTTTTCGGGAAGCCCATAGGAAGGGAGCTTTGAGAGAAGCGTTTTGTGCCACACCCGATCGAAGGTCTTCGCTATGTCCAAGCTTACCGCATAAAAGTCTCCCTTGATCTCGATCGCCTGTGCCCACCGGTGTGTTAGATAATAGAAGATTTCTTGCATTGTTTGCTTAAAAATAAAATAAAATGTTAAGGTCATGTGTTTTTTTTTTAACTTTGTGATCCTCCTACTGCTTTATGTTGAACTTATGTCACGCTCAAATCATCAGATTTTTAAAGTACACAATTTAATTGACTCAACTTACCTTAATTCCATCGTCGTTGGTCGATTGTGCCGCAGGGCGCCCTACACTACGTTTACCTAATCGCGGTCTCCTCTCTAGCAGAGGTCAGCTCCAGCGACCATCAGTGCGACTGGAGACATGATCGATGAATGGATGACGAAAAAGACAGAGGTATGTGCGTTCACCGCAAAAAATATACCATCTGTCGTATCACTTTAGTTTGAGAGCACCTCCCTAACTGCCTCAGCCAGCATCGGAATCCTAGGCATCGACATATCGAGCGAAGTCCAGTTTCGGGGTCACTTAGAGGGTAAGGTCAAATTGGCCTCGAAGAAGCTCGGTGTCCTCAACAGATCGAGGCAGTATTTCACTCCGGCCCACCGCCTTCAGCTCTATATGGAATACTGTTCTCATCTCTATGCAGGGGCACCTCAGTACCAGCTTCTCCCTCTGAATCGCATCCAACGAAGAGCGACTCGAATCATCGATAGCCAAAACATCTCCGATCGGCTCGATCCCTTGGCGTTACGTAGATATGTGGCTTCACTCTGCATTCTCTATCGCATATGTCATGGAGAGTGCTCCGAACAATTCCTCGGACTAATACCAGCCGCAAATTCCACACGGCAAAATTTTCATCCTCATCACCTGGATAGCCAACTATCCAGGTGATGAGGATGAAAATTTCTCCACTACCATGCGCTTTTGGAGACACTTTTTGCCACGCACAACCAATCTGGGTTATCGTCTGCGGTATTTCTGGACCGATACGACCTTCAAACCTTCAAGAAACGAGCGTATTCCTTCCTAAAGGGCCGGCAACGTGTTTGTGACTCCTGAGTTGCAGACGTTCATGGGCGGCGATGGTCACTTTCCATCAGGTGACCCGTCTGCTAGTCTGCCCCCTCTAACATTAAAAAAAATGAGCGAGTTTATTTCACTTCTACTCGATCGTCACGGTGACCGCGTTCGGCGCTACGATTGGCCCGCACTGAAATTTCCACCCATCGCAACACTAAACGCACTCGCCGCCGAGAGCGAGTCGATGTGAAATAAACTTACAGAGCTCTCTGTTTATGACCATAGATAAAACACTATAACCCGATATGACTGACAACTTGTACCACTTATCTTTATCTTATATTTATGTTTTTCTTACTTACGTTTGCTAACACATTAACTGTATGTGCCAGCTGTTTCGTTCCATTAGAGTACATATTTACACTTTCGTTGCATTGTAAATATTAACGCGGATCATCTAAAATTAAGTGAAAGCAATGTTCTCCGCTCTCAAAAAATTAGCAAGAAGTAGCGATGATCGCTGTCCAGCACCTATGCCTATGTCTTCTTCTTTACAAAAGAAGTTTTCAAAGGGAGTTCACTTTAACAGTAAACAATTATTTACCTATATATAACAGCATGAGACTTGCATCGAATTGACATATTATTGTTGTCATTGGTTTAATATTTTTTTTCAGTGAAAATATTGATAAAAGGTGACAGAAACGTTGGTAAATCATGCTTATTACAGCGCCTTCAAGGTGGACCGTTTATAGAGGAATACGTACCAACTGATCAAATACAAGTGGCTCCCATACACTGGACATATAAAAATAGTGACTACATTGTAAAGGTGAGTGAAAGTTTGTATAGCTAATTAAGCAATTAATCATTATTATTTTGCATGCATGTCATGCGAGCATGTCATACAATATTTTTCTATTTCATAAATGTATTTATAAAACTTGTTCACTGCAGTAAGTATAGATAGAAAAATTTACTCTAAAAGGACAGATTATCTTGTTTTATTAACATATTTTCTTTTATATTAAAAGGTTGAAGTATGGGAAGTAGTTGACAAAGGTCGGACAAAGAAAAAACCACCTTTAGGTCTGAAGTTAGAAAACCAAACATCAGCTTCTATATCAGAGGATGGCTATGATACACCAGTTCTGGATGCAACATTCTTAGATGTGTACAAAAATGCCAATGGGGTGATATTGATGCTTGATATAACAAAGCCTTGGTAAGTTTTAGCAGATGAAGGCTACAGTGTCTGACTTTAGAAATGTTGATGCCTTCTTTAAGAAGGATGAAATTTCTTTTTTTTGTATGGTATTGGAAGCAAAGCAGCAGATAGGTCACCTGATAGTAAGTGACTACCAATACTGCCCCTAAATGACACCTACAACTCAAGAGCATAGAGATAATAATATAATAGAGGGAGCGAACTGTATATTCAAGTGGTAGTGTACAGCCGTTAGACAGAGAAAGAATATTGTTTTGGTCTTACATCTCTCTCTCCTCTCTACACTGATTGGCTCATACTGAAGACTGCATTTAAAAATAACCAATCAGAGACAAGAGCAGAGGCAGATGCAGGACCAAAACAATTGTTCTCTCTACCAACCATTTGCGATAGCGTCTTGATCATTTCTATATTTAAAAGCTCTTTGCTCAAGAGACACAAGTGTGTTGCCACCCTTAGAGTGCTCCCCCCTCAGAGTTAGAGGCCTCTGGTAACCTCACTAACTCCGTGAAAAGTAATGAAAGAATTGCTTTTAACCTTTTCATACATACAATATGTTCATGTAACAAATTATTATTATTATGTGCTAGATTATCACAAATCTTTTTAGTCCAACAAAACATAAAAGTAGTAATTAAAACCTTTTTCCTAGAATTGTTGTATCAGTATTTTATATGTAGTTACTTATCAATAAAATTTTGCTGACAGGACATTTGAGTATGTGGTGAAGGAATTATCTCAAGTGCCAGCCGACCTACCAGTTGTAGTACTGGGAAACCATTGTGATATGAGCCATCACCGCCAAGTGCATCTACATCACATTGAACAAGCTCTACATCAAGCAAAACTTATCAGGTATGCACTTATGTATGAATTTTCACAGTATAATTTTTTCCCTTGTAATAAGAAAGATCTAATGGTCAAATGTCTTAATTGACTCTTAGGTCTGCTATCATGGCCAATCAGGAAACTTGAAATAAATATTGATGTTAATATTATCAAATAAGGAACAAGTGCCTATTTGATGACATTAAGTAATGTCACATGTAATTCATGATATCACATTTTCGAATCTGATCCTTATTTCACGGGCCTGTTGGTCTAGTGCCTAGTGACCGTGATTGCTAAGTTGGAGGTTGTGGGCTCAATGCCCACCCAGGAAAAATGTTGAGTGATGAGCATGATCATTTAATAATGTTCTATTGCTGGGTGTAATTTATCTATAGTAAATACATACTATAGATAAATTACACCCAGCACACTGAACACAGAACACTGCAATGTTCTGTTTTATGATTTGTGTGAGTGAATAAACCATTGACATAAAATGTATGTGTGCACTTATTATTAGGACAGCACCAGTACGGTATGCAGAGTCTTCCATGAGAAATGGTTTTGGCCTGCGTTTGCTCCACAAATTTCTTAGCGTTCCATTTTTAAGACTTCAGAAAATAAGTTTATTAGAACAATTACAAAGGAACCAGAGAGACATGGAGGATATTGAAAAGGAACTTGATGATTTCCAAGTAAGTGCAATGAGCAGTAGTTGATGTATTAACAAATTAAGATTTTTTTATTCAACAAGGTTCCAATGTTTTGTTAAATATACAATATTTGTTAAATGTACCATCAAATACTATTTTGCCTATCTCCATTTCAATTAATCTGTCCCATTGTTTGCAATCACATCATCATTCTTTAATAGTCCACTGCTGGACATAGGTGTCTCCTTTGGCAGGTTTTGGCCTACTATACCACACTGGCCAGACAGGTTGGTATAGGGATTGTGTCAAGTTTTCCTTCCCTTTGCAGTGCTGTAGTCCTGTGAAGTTTTCTCCCTTAGTCAGCTCTTACGACACCACCGTCATGAATGGGGTGGTGACACTCGTATTCTTAATCCGACACCACACGGACTGTTGCTTGCATTGCCACTTAGGATTAGTGTCCAAACTGGGATCCTTCCTATACCTAAATAATAGCTCTCTATATGTAGAAGTAACATAAAACTGATGTGCCAGATGGTCTAATGGTGAGTGATTACTGTGCTTACTTAGATGAAAGAATATAATGTTATTGGGTTTATTGGTAATATAATCAAGGGTGTTGTTTTACAGAACTCTGAGGAATCTCATTACAACTTGTTTGTGGACCGTCTAGCAAATAAACGTCGACAAAGTTCTGGTCAACCGGAACCTCGAACTAACAATGATAGATCTCCTAGTATTGTCCTGGGTGCCGGCAAACCCATCATACCACCGGGTGTCAATCCTCTAGTAAGTTCCATCTATAGTTCCATCGACTGCACGGATGTAGTGGTTTAAGCGGTCGCCACGCCGCTTCCTACTACGCCGAGTGTTGTGGGTTCAAACCCCACATGGGACGACACTTTGTGTGATCCACAAATTGTTGTTCTGAGTCTGGGTGTTCTTTGTGTCCGTTTCATGTATGTTTGTAAAGTCCCCCGCGACACAGGATTTATTTCTAATGCGGGAGTTGTCTTTTTGACTTTAAAATAAAATTAAAAATAAAAATAGTTACTAATATTACAAACAGGTTGGTAAGTTTGTATATAAAACCTGATTATTGATTTTTAAAGGACTGCACGGATGACGTAGGGGTTTAAGCGGTCGCCACGCCGCTCACTACTACGCTGAGTGTTGTGGGTCTGATCCCCACATTGGACGACACTTTGTGTTCCACAAATTGTTGTTCTGAGTTTGGGTGTTCTTTGTGTCCGTTTCATGTATGTTAGTAGAGTCGCTCGCGACCCTGGATATATTCCAAATGCTATGGATATAATCCTGGTGTCTTTAAAAAAAAAAGGATTTCCTAAGTTTACCTTCCTAACATTACCTGTTTTTTATTTCTCCTAGAAGTTATTTGGGCTTTCATTAACTTTTTGAATCAAATTGTTAACTTTAATAAAAAAATAAAGAAAGAAATAACTAGATATAAATATTAATGACTAGTACATACCTAATGGGCGAAATTAAAAAAAATCTTTATTTATGTTAAACAATATGGCAATCAATAAGTAACAAAATTAAAAAAAATGGTTGACTTACACGTATTTTATGTACGAATAATAAATCTTAGTCATAAAATTACAATCACCATTGCAGTTGGCGCAATCGTTAGCTGGTGGTGCTACCAAACCGCCGACTCAAACAGTTCAGGCTCACTACGTCAGTCCGGAATTAATGAAGCCTAAGAATCAAGTCAGTACAGAAATGACGCCGCCTAGACTATTGCAGCAGGATAGGTAAGAAGACTTTTGTAACTTGTTTTTACCCGACTACGACAGAAGGATTTATATTTCTTTGGCACACTCTGTAGCCTAAACAGCTTGATGTATTTTGGTCTTTGAGTTGTTGCCAGATTCATCTTGATGGTAAGAGTGACTCTGGGTATTTAAAAAAAATAAATAGAATAAATTAGAATTTTTTTTTGAAAAAAAGCGTGGGGTGCTTTTTACTATTGACAACAGGCACCCAACGCTTTTTTCAAATTTATTTTCTATTTTTTAGTTTGGTTTTCTATAGAAAGCGTGTTTTTTATTTTATTTTTTTTATTTTTTTAAATTAGTGTATTGTCATCGGTCCTCGATATATCTACAAAGTTTGAACGAATTCTGACCGTTTAAAGTCAGTCAAAATCACGCCCAAAGGAGTCGGTTACAAACATACAAGTGAAGCTAATATAAAGCGTGTAAAAATTAAAAACTGCCGGTTCATAAGTGTTCAGTCGGGTTTTGTTTTTTTATTGTTGCGACTGCATGGATGGCGTAGTGGTTTAAGCGGTCGCCACGCCGCTTTCTACTGCGTGAGGATGTGTTGTGGATTCGATCCCCATTTGGGACACCACTTTGTGTGATCCACAAACTGTTGTTTTGAGTCTGCGTGTTCTTTGTGTCCGTTTCATGTATGTTTTTAAAGTACCTCGCGACACAGAATTAGTAGTTATATTCCTAATGCTCCCGCATTAGGAATATAATTGTCTTTTTAAATCAAATTTAAATCATTGTAGAGTCTGATTCCGTTTGTAGGTATTCAAAATACATATATTTCAAAAAATATTTTTCTCTACACGAATGAATATAATTTGATCCGAATAAAAACCCTTCATTATTGCATGTTAAACTAACAGAGTTCACATTTATGTAAAACATTTTAATTGTCCATGTTTTGTTTAGAATCTTTTTTTTTATATTTTAGCGGGCAAAGTACGCCAACAGGTGCCAACGTTTCAGCTTCTTCAGGAGGCCTAGACGAGTTCTATGCAGGTACTCTCGATAGCAGTTTCTTGGAAGATCTTCCTCCATTATCAGGCACTACCAATCAAGATGTTACCTATGAAACTGATAGGTAATAATTAGTCTTAAAAACAATTTCTCTTTACAGAAACTTAATACTGCACCCAGACCTAATAATAATGAAATTAATGATATCTAAAAAAATATGGCCAATATAGTCAAATGAAGTAAATGCTGTCTGAAAAAAAAACACAGGCAAACAAATATCTGCCAAATTAAAAAAACAACTTTTGTAGATCTATTAAAAAAGGCCCCTTTTAAATCATATAAAAATTCAGTAATTGTAAAAATTGTATTGATGAATTACCATATAAAAAATGACCCTACCACTCATATTTTCAGTGACGATGAAAACACAACAAACCCAAAAGTGACTATTGATCAAGAAGACTTAGATTTCGACGTTAGTTCGTCTGCAGATTTCTTTAGGTCGGAACCAAAGGTGCCATCAGAACTTCACGCTAGGTCCAGTCATGTTGATGGCACACTGGACACAATGCTGAGTCGGATTACAATGGAGGATGAGGACGATACCCACCTTAGTAATAATAGTGTTGACAATTCACATATATTTGAAAGCAAGAGCCATATTGAAGAAGAGTTACAGTTGGATAATGATTTCAGCCTTTGGGCTGGTGACACTAGTGTCCGAAGGTCTCCTGAAGGTAAATGTCTAGTAATTTGATTTTAAATTTAAATTTTAATTTCTCTATATAAGAATTTGATTGGATGTGTGTAATTTTTATTTTAGGTGGCGAAGATCCAGACAGAACAAAAGAATCTAGTGAAAAGGTAATATATGATATATAAAATAATGAGAAAACTTACCAAACTTTTTAAGCACATAGCGAGCACAAAAGTTAAAATAGCTTACCTGTCAAGTTCCTCGCCACATTCAATTTACCAGCGTGTACAGTGGCTGAAAATACCGTTTTCTAGATAATAATCTTTCTACCTTTAAATGCAATGTTTAGATTGGCCAACAACATAGTTATCTGGCGACCGTGCCTTAAAACGCTCCTGTCTCTGTGAATTTTTATGATCTTTTTCTTATGATATAGAGAGCAAACGAGTAGACGGTCACCTGATGGAAAGTGACTACCGGCAGCCATGAGCGCCTGCAACTCAGGAGTCACAAGCGCATTGCCGACCTTCAAAGAAGGAGTTCGCTCTTTTTTGAAGGTCGTATCGGTCCGGAAACAAAAGAAACAAAGTAAGGGCGAAACGCTCACTAACCAGCCACTAGGCAGAATGTCACACATGAATGATGAAATGAATGTCGTTAGGATGTATCTGCATCTGCACATTAATTGATTGAAACTATGTGATATACATACTTTCCATGAATTATGGGTATCAATTTATTTTTTCATAACACCAGGAGAAGAAGCACAAAAAGAAAAAAACGAAAGACAAAGATCGAGGAGATTACAGTGAAAGCTTAGATAGAAAGGAGAAGAAACATAAACATAAAAAATCTAAAACCGAGAAAAAATCTAACCCACAACAGGATTTATTAGCACCGTCTGAAGCAACAGTGTTTAATTACGAAGAATATGATAGTATTTAATAAAGAAAACTACATTTTTAAATTAGTATCTACATTCCTTAATAAACGAACTTTATACATGTCATTTGAAATTGCTTATCTATAAGGTACAAATGTACAGTAATCTCTAATAGAATAAATCCTTTTGCGTTCTTCTTTAAAAAACTCAACAATCTATCAAAAACAACGATGGCAATCACGCGATTTCCATAAAATATTGCTTCGTAAAAAATCGATGTAAATTAATGTTATAAAATCTTATTTTATTGTATGTGCCAAAATTGGCGAATAATATCTTTTATGTGCAATATGTATGACGTATATAATCGTAAGTTTAAATTGAGATTATCTGGTTATATTTTAACATATTTTATCATGTTGTGTATGCTTGTTGTCTAAATAAAATGTGTTAAGAAATTGTGTTGTGTTGCCTTCACATAGAAACCTCTTTCCCTTTGATGCTTACGTAACTTAGACCGGGGATGTATATTTGGCTACGTACTCCGTAGCCAAATATAAAAGCTCGTCGAAATTGCATATTGGGAATTGTGAAAACCTCGCGTAAGTCTCATAAGTCATATAATATATTAGATATACGTATAGAACGTATTGTGTTTTTTGAGTCAATAAAACATTAAAATTAACTTTTATCTCGGGTAGGGATAGCGATTAACGGAAAGACTCCCCCAACTATCTCCACCAATGTGATCAGTAGGATAAATGGAGCAAATATTTTGCATATAATCATAAAAGTGGAGATATATCAAACAACAAACAAACCAAAAATTAGTATTTTTAATCGCATTGTATCATATAATATTGTATGGCATTTTTTTACATCGGCCGGCAATCTGTTGAACAGCTGTGCTCCCTCAAACAATGTTTTTTTTACCGTAATTAGTGTGTGCGCTGATAAGCTCAAGTTTTTTTGGGGGGGGGGGGGGCAGGAGAGCAGACTGGTCACCTGATGGATAGTGACCATCGCCGCCCATGAAAGTCTGCAACTTAGGGAGTCACAAACGTGTTGCCGGCCTTTTAGGAAAGAGTACGCTCTTTTCTTGAAGGTCGCATCGGTCCGGAAATACCGCAGACGATAAACCGTTCCACAGATTGGTTGTGCGTGGCAAAAAGTGTCCTGAAAAGCGCATAGTAGTGGAGCGCCAACTATCCAGGTGATGGGGATGAAAATTTTGCCGTGTCGAACAATGGCGGAAAGTTGCGGCCGGTATTAGGCCGAACAACGAGAATGCAGAGTGCAGCCACATCTCTACGTAACGCCAAGGGATCGAGCCGATCGGAGATGTTTGGGCTATCGACGATTCGAGTCGCTCTTGGTTAGATGCGGTCTAGAGGGGAAAGCTGGTACTGAGGTGCTCCTGCATAGAGATGAGAACAGTATTCCACATGCGGCCGGACTTGCGCCTTATTAGCTGAAGTTTTTTCACATTTCTCAAAAAATGTGACATTGTTCTTTTCTTTAGTTTTATATTATTTTGGATAGAGTTGACAACAATACAAGTATACTTAGTAAATATATATTGTTCTTTTATATTTTTCACACATTTCACACACGGCCGTCTGTTCCCAAACTAGGCAGTACCTGTACTTTGGTAACCAGACTGTTAGATAAAGTACACACGGATGGCGTGTGGTTCGATCCCCACATGGGACGACAGTTTAAATTGTTGTTCTGAGTCTGGATGTTCTTGGTGTCCGTTTCATGTATGTTTGTAAAGTCCCCACGATACAGGATATTTTCCTAATGCTTGAGTTTAAAAAAAAAAAACACCATACATGCAAGGGTACACCTGTGTACAGATTGACAAACAGAATTAGATCTCTAACTCAAGTAGTTGCTGAGATCATCGCGGCCGCGCAATCCACCACATTACGCTCGCGTAACTCCTTATACATATACTTATTCTTTATTTCTACTTTAACAATGATCCCTTCTATTTTGACAATTTTCAAAAAATCAAAGATTTTTTCTATTTGGAGAAGGTGGCGGAGCAATCATAATGCACACATAAGGCATAGTGCGTCATAATAATTATTGCGAAGTATATTGCTTTCGAGCTGCTGTTATCTATAACGGATAACTAAACATCACAAAAACAAAATGAAAGTACTAATCATTTGCAGTTATCCATGTGTACATTATTCCTTTATTAAGAATTCAGGATGTCATCATCATCAGCCTATCGCAGTCCACTGCTGGACATAGGCCTCTCCCATTGTGTAAATGGGATGGGATTACATCAATTGGCAACATATCATCTGCTTTAAAAAAATTACTGTGTAGAAAATAAAATTACCAATTTCTACAACGACACAAGCTCTTTCGAATGGTGACCGACCGAAACAGGTTTTTCAGCCGAAACCAAAACTCAAACTATAATTTTAAAATTTCGATTGTATACAGCAATCTAGTTTATTTTTAGCCATTTATCTGCCTATCTACCACCTAAAACCACTGCAATAAGGAAGACACACGGCATTAATTCTAAATAAGAGAAAATGTAAGTATTTAGGTGGGTAGAAAAAAAAAACGTAGGTGTATTAAGTATCAGAAATTCACCTTTCTAAATTGTCATTTGAACGGACTATACGCGTTTTCTCATAGTTAGAGTTAAGCAATTGAAGATCACGCATAGTATAAGTATTTTCTGTAATGGGTAATGGTATAATAGGGGTACAGAATATAATTCAACAACAATTAAGTATCTACAAACAAATAAATCTAAGGTTCGTATTACAAAATGCATGCATTTTATAAGGCCACTAATATTTGTGTGTCACTAATATTTAAATAAAACTCAATAAAGCGAAGCTCTATACCTAATAATTGCCTTTGAGATAAAACAATGTTAGTAATAAGTAAAAACAAAACAAATACAAAATTATTTGTGGGAGAGCCATGCCTCGGCGCATATGGGCCAAGCTCGACCAGAATGATACGATACCGTGGCCTTACGGAAAACCTGGTTAAGCAGTTCTTTCGTTGCTTTTTGTTCATGGGCGGCGGTAGCCAGTTACCCTCATTCGACCCGTTTGCTCACTTGTCCTGCCATACCATAAAAAAGATCGCACTGGACTGCGGCGAACTGAACCAGAGCCGGTGTCCACAAGTTAGCGGCGAAGTTAACTGAACGACGCACGATACCTCACGAACACTGAGTTTCGGTGCGGCCGTAAGTTTCGGCCCAAACCGAAATTTCGGTCGGTCACTACTTTCAAATAATTTATTATTCATAATATGCACTGAACTGTATAATGAACAGTCAATATCCGTGAATTAACGGACATTCTATAGTGTGTGTAGTGTAGTGGTAGAGGATCGGTGGATAAAATAGATGGGATACCGTTTTTCAACAAAAGAAGTTTAATAAATAGAGTACATTCTATTCAAAATGTAAATGTACAACCACATCGATATTTTATTGGTTAGATTATAAAAAATTGGACCACCTGTAAGAAGTCCGCGCCGTAGTGTAACAATATTACAAACAAAAATCTCTACATAACAGAACTTACAGATATTAGTCAACTTTATTTTATACATACTATAGTACACGATTATTTAACATAATATTTACCTAATATTATATTTATACATTCTATGTATAGTAAGATAATAATTTTCATTTCTGTAATAAGTTAATAAAACTATAAAATATTCTCTTCAGTTAAATGTTAGGCATTTCATAAGGCTAATGTAGGTATTGGAAACAATATTTGGTGGTTTTACGGTCTCTTTAAACACAACACGAAGTATGTCCCTATGTAATATTTATATATATATCATTTATAAAAAGCACTTTGTACTTGGCTTCAATCTTTAAATAAATGATAATGAAGAATGATTTTTTTTCTTTAAAATATTTAATAATCATCGTTAAAAAAGTAAAATATGAAAATAAACACAAATATGACGATTGAAATAAGTACACCCCTGTGTATCTAAACACATTTCGCTCTAAAAATTTTACTCGTGGGTTTCATAGTGTACTTTGAGATTCAAATACGAAGGATCATTTTGGTTTCACGAAACTTTAACATCAGTTTGAAATTACAAAATAAATAAACCGTGTTTAATGTATCACATAATAATTAAGTATTAAAAATGTAACACCGACTTCAACGTGCCTAAGTTATGATGATAAATTGTAATAATATTCTCTCATTGGTAGTATTCTTCTCTTAATTTTCTACCTTCAGAAGTGAAATATTTCATTCAAATTTAAATAGGACAAACCAAATTAAGAAAAAAATAATTCAAATCGGTGTACAAATCACGTAACTTACACAAATCATATATATTCAGTCGAATTGAGAACCTCCTCCTTTTTAAATTCGGTTAAAGAGAAGACAAATTTATTCCAACTCATTACGACCAAATGAACAAATCTATACATTTTAGAAGAACTAATTTCATCTTGTTTAGAAGATACAAAATATAATGAATAATAATGGCAAATCGTAGGTACATCGTAGAATAACTCTATCAGTTATATTCGTCATCATTAATACATTACCACAACACTTATTCCATTATTCTCCGTGCATGATAATACTAATTGCGAATAAGGCCGTCAATTGTACTACGTTATCGTGTAGTTATATTATACAAGATTATCTTTTGATCGCGCGCTGGTCTCGTACAATGGGAAAGTTCTTCTAGACGATAGTATAAAATATGGACAGTAAAATGATCGAGAATTAAAAAAATTGAATTTCAAAATTATGTCAGATAAGTTTTCATCAGCCGTAGTTCAATCGATACTCATGACATCTTGCATGCAGTTGCCAGAGATAGAAAGAAAAAATTTGTTCCCAAGACACGAAACAATTACTTATATGCGAACGAAACCACGGGCATATACAATATAATTTTACAATAGTGACAATTATAATATGATAATTGGGCTGATTTAATCGGTGCATAGATTAACTTAATATAGTTCGATATTCTTAATCAAAAAAATAGGGGTTTAAGTCTGAAATTGCCGTTGTGTAGTGATAGATTTTTCGAATTGACATAAAACCTTCATGGTGCGAGATTTTCGTGTGAAACTTTTTTCACATGATAGCTATAAGGTTCTTCTTTTTTAAAATGTCCAATATTCGATTTTCGACTTTCAATTATTATTATTTTATTCAGCCCTGACGTTAAAGATGGATACTTCGATAATCCGAGTCAATTTATAATACGAGTTCCGACACGGAACTAACGCGGCAAAAACGGCTCGCAATATCAACGCTGCGCTTGGAGGGGACTGCTAATGAATGCACCATCCGTTTTTGTTTGAAACGCTTTCGCAATGGAAACTTCAACTTGAAGAATGAACCATGTGGAAGACCACCCACACAAGTGAATAACGCTGAAGGAGATGTTGGAAGCCGATCTGAGTCAAACTACCCAGGAATTAGGGGCATGGGTTAACTTTACCCTAACTACAATATTGTTTGAATTGCATCAAATCAATAGGATAAAAAAATAAGAAAAATGGGTGCCTCATGATTTGAGTGATCTGCAGAAAGAATGCGAGTTGAAACTTGTGTTGCCTTGTTGAATCGGTACAGAAGTACTATAGCTTTCTCAGGTCTAGTCAGGGAATAACAGCACATGTTTACCGTCTGTCTGTGACTTCGAACAATGATGGCGAAACTGGCAGCGAAACAGCCCCGACTCGTGAATCGATCTTCACCATTATTGCAAAATGATAAAGCAAGACCTCACACTGCATGAGAAACCGTTGTAACTCCACAGGAGCTGCAGTTAGAAACCATACGTCATCCTCGGTACTCGCAAGACCTTGCTCCAACGGACTACAATTTTTTCGTGATTTGGACAGTTTTCTACGTGATAAAAAAAAATTCTTCCCAGAAGGCAGTACAAAATGCTTTCACACAGTACCCAGTGCTATCGTAAAGGCATAAATAAACTTCCGTTTAAATGGCAGCAATGTATAGATAATGAGGGTAAATATTTTGATAATAAATATGTTACATCTTAGAAAAGAAACGAGTTTCAAATTTTCAGTACAAATCGGCAATTCCATACTTTAACCCCTAATAAATAAGAAAAAAATACGAGTGAGTCATTCCAATTCAATTAACAAAATTTTGAAATTAAATTAAGATAAATTTAGCATTATCATTAAAATAGTAATCTTTAATAGATAGATTATTTATAAAAATTAATCTTTGTCGTAGAAAGTTGGTAAAAAATCCTTTTGCTACCTTAGCTTTGAGTGTATTTGCTAATGGATTAATGATGTCTCAAAAATTATTGATAAGTACTTAAAAATGAATAAGTTGCTCTAATTTACACAGAGTACACTATTTATAGACAACAAAAACAGAAAATTTTAATGTAACTTTTGTTGTCGAAATTTCTTACAAAAACTTAGTCTCCCTTTCATATGATAAAAGTAATAACGATATCGAAGAGATCTTCAGATCCCACAAAATATATAACTGCAGTAAAAATTTAGGGGGGCCCCAAAAGCAATGAAACACGGATAAATACTTAAACGCCATTCAATCATAACAGTTGCGTCATAAGCACTATTCGCTTGTATGTGAGTTATAGCGACCGAACGAGACTTACACTATCGTAAAATTGAGTAGCGTTGCAGTATTCTGTACGGAGTACCGGTGTTTATTATGTTGCTGTGTTGTTTGTGCTCGTTTCAATAGAATATTATTGATAGCTTTGCTGATGAGCTATATACACAAAGAAGGTCAAGGCAACGCACACACTTTGTGTAGGTGATGGAGCTGTTGGCTTTTACTGCTATTATAATGTACGCAAGCTACACTGTAGTGGATTATACTCCACATTATTATAGTTGTGAAGTCAAAATATATTGTCTCTTTAGCGCCCTCCTAATATTGCTCTTATTAATGTTGTGTTACCCTTCATTTTTTATTTCATTAATAAACGTAATTTAAATAGTTTATAAGTATGTTTATGGCCTACTTTAAAGCATGTCAACAATAAAATCCACTTATATTTTTGTTACTATAACAATATCTAAAATATCTAGCAACATAAATAAATAATCGTGATTGTCAAAGGCAATTTTTAAATGAATGTCATTTGATATTATATTACATACAGTATAACGGAATGTTTAATCTACTACTGCAGTGTTTTAGCTGAATGTTCTAGTACAAATAGTGAAAATGCTATGTTCATAAAAAAGTTACAACATGTATTAATGAAATAAGACTATATACTAAATATTCGTGTGGACAGTAATAAATAAATTTTGGCCTCGGTAAAAACAGATTTTGGCATTCAATTAAGACTCATTTTAAAAGCTAACTGATGAGTATAATCCAACAATAAGTCGATGGATGAATTTTACTATTCTTAATAATAATATTTTTCTTATATATCATTTATATAAACTATCGCTGCAAAATAACTTTAATGCATTCCTAGCTTCTTTATTCTTAAGTTTAACTAAATAATCTTATGTACAGTGTCTATAATATAATTGTTCAATCATTATTAAATACAACATCACCCTAAACCTCTCCAAGAAGAGAATTTATCATAAAATATTTTTCGTCCATAACAACAAACTGTTTTATTTGAAATCCGCGAAAACGAACCCAGGCGAGGACGTCAGTCCACGCGAGACGTTTCCGAGAAACCGTCGTCCAAAAAGCTCTGTAAATGTGCCTGATGGCTTAGAGAACTTAACTCAAAATTGTTTTGTTCCACAAAATTATTATGCACATTGTAAGGTTGTTCACGGAATTGACCTGTCGTCCATGGATCACTCAAATCGTCGTTAGGCCTTCGAACACTACTATCGAATAAAGGTAAACCAGGCCAAGTTTGCGGTGACGGCGTGTTGAGCATGGTGGGAATGTTATCAATGTGCGGCTGAATAGGCGGAGCAGGCTCTGGGTTAAATGAAGGCGTTCCCCAAACTAGTGACTCGATACTGGATGTCGCAGCGCTGCATATCTGGTTAAATCTATCTATTCCCCAAGAGTTACTTAAATCAGGAGCAGCTGCGTTATTGTGCATCAAATCTGGCGCTTTAGGCATTGATCTCCCATAAATATCTTGCTGTTGCCTGCCACTCATAGTAGGTCTGGAAGTTAGTCCTCTATCAGGACTTGGTAGGTGACAATCTGAACGCATCATTGGACTATAATTACCGACGCCTGGACTCTTTTTGTTACTATAAGATAGGTCAACACTTGGTCTAGGCGAATAAGAGCTTTGATGCAAACGATCTTGTCGAGACATAGGACTATATTGTCCAGGGGTTTTATTTGCATTGCTTCTAAGATTATCGTTCTTTATACCGACTCCAGGGTCAGGACTAGCGTGTGTAGAAGGATGAGGGGAAAATGGCTGGTGGTGTTTGGGCATAGGACTGAAATTGCCAGTGTTCCAAGCGCTAGACTTTTGCAAATCTGGTTTCACTATTTGACTTGTATCTGGACTCGGTTGCGCTGAATAAGGACTAGGTTGTGAAGAGTATGGGCTTGGCTGCGTCGAATAAGGACTAGGTTGTGTTGAGTAGGGGCTAGGTTGAGCAGGGCTTGGTTGAGCTGAATATGGACTTCTTTGAGAGGAAAATTGGTTGTCTTGGCGAGGCATGGGGCTATAGTTTCCATAATTCCAGCTATTAAGATTTTTTATACTGTCTTGTTTCATACTATGTGTTTCAGGACTAGGTTTCTTATCATGAGAAGTGGTTGGACTACATTGTTCTATAACTTTTCCAGGCCTTAATTTATTATGATTTTCTAATCTACTGAGAGGACTGGCTTCAGACTTATGTGTTGGTGTAGTTTTAAATTGTCCTAGATTCCATGAGTTACAACTTCTTTGACTATGATTTAATAACTCTGATTGGACTTCTGGACTGTTTTGTACTTGACTGTCTGGTTTAGGGACGGGACTGAAATGGGGACTTCCAAGTTCTCCTTTAATGGATTCGGACCTGGGTGTAGACGAGGAATCTGGTTTAGATTGTGTAGCAGGGCTTAATAGTTTAGGAGTGGCATCTCTGATCGACCTTTTACCTTCAGAAACAACAGTCATCATTTCGTTAGTATCTTTGCCAGACGTCGGTTCACATGACTTGCTATCAGGTGAAGAACTTACAGGCGTTCTAGCCATCGGGAACTGTTTCTCTAAAACGCTTTTTGGTTCTTGAAAGACAGATGAGGACTTGTCCTTTGATGATGTTTCAGATTTCTCAGAAGCTCCTATCGGAGGTTCCTTTATATCAGCTTCAGATTTAGAATCAGAACTAGACTTTTTAGCATCGTTCTTTGCTTTTTCACTTTCCGCAGCTTTAATTTCTTTGGCTTTGATTTTCTCAGGATTGAAGTTATCTTTTAGATCTTGCAGTTCCTTACCAGTATACAAACGTTTCATACCTCTGGGGAGAGCACGACATGAACTAAGGTTTAAAGATTCAATGAGGGGACATTTTAGAAGAACTTTTTTGACTGGTTCCAAAGATACTGATGAGCCACATAAGTTGAGTATTCTGAAATAGAAAGAAAAAAATGGCCAATGTTTACATATAATAATACATCGCTTTATTGTACATCAGATATACAGTGATTATCTTCAAATAGGTTAGTACAAGTGGCGGCATTATCGCTCAGAGGCAATCTCTTACAGGCAACCGTGGTATGGAGAAAAAACATGAAGGGGAGAAGTATTGGGTAGCGGCTGTTGTATTAGGAAATAGAAAAGAAGATGAAATCAAAGTAGTATAAACATAGCTATAAAAAGTCATAATTACACATAGTGTCTATTTGTTGGACTAACACTTGCTGTGCTGAACACTACTACTGGTGGTGTTATTAGATACATATAATTAAATAATTATTGATTTATAAGTTCTAAATACATATATTATAAGAAATAATGTGACCTTGTCAACTTTGTAGAAGTTAATTGACATTGAAGTCTCCCAGATATAATTCTTTGACTTGTTTCTTGAAGGAGGCAAGTGTTTCTGCACGTCTGGTTGTGACCGGTAGGGCGTTGCAAAACCGAACCGCTTGGACAGAGGAGGCGTCGAGGGATTTAGTGGATTGTCCCTGCATTTTTGGTTTAAGGTTCTCTGACGATCTCAACAGTTTGGGGTGTGTGTCATTCAAGCACGTAAACCGTGATTTGAGGTAACGTGGAGTAAAAGGATTAAATAGAATACTATAGAGAAGAGAAAGAATATATGCATTCCGGCGGAGGCATATTGGTAACCACTTGAGCTTTTTGCGATATTCAGAAACATGATCATATTTGCGAAGTCCAAATATGAATCTTTGGAATCACTCAAGCTTATTCAATTTGTCTTCAGTAAGATCTAGATAGCTGGCATCAGCATAATCAAAGATGGGGAGAAGAAGGGATTGTGCAAGAGCTATCTTGGTTAGAGTAGGTAGAAAGTTGCAAAGTCGGTGCAAAGAGCCTGCAGCGGCAATCATTTTGCGACTCAGCTGAGGTCCCCAAGATAAGGTAGTATCAAGGTAAATACCCAGGTTTCTGAATATCACTGTACGGAATAAGTGTGCAGTTGCAAGTGATTTGAAACAGTTTTATCCAGTCAATTTTGGAGATCATTCTCGAACTTCCAACGACAATGACCTGAGTTTTAGTTAGACTGATTTTCAGACCGTGGGAGTTGCTCCACTTACATATTTTATCTAGGTCAACGTTTGTGGTAGTAACAGCATCAGCCAGATTAACCGGTGTAGCCCTAGAATAGATCTGGAGATCATCCGCGTATAGGTGGTAGGAAAAAGTTAGATCATTAGTGATAGTGTTAATAAAAACAGTGAAAAGCCTCAAGTTTGTGCAAGTGTAAGCACCGACCTCGGCACACTCGGACGATGAGGTGGAGGATATGTTCGATGACATATCGAGGGCCCTCCACTTCACAAGTAAGACCCACTACAACGTTGTTATGGGTGACTTCAACGTTAAAGTGGGAGTACAGGATTGCGGCGAATCGGTAGTAGGTTGAATGATAGAGAGTACATGCTGGTCAACTTTCTTTCAACGGGAGGGGCTCTCCTTTATGAACTCTTTCTTCAAGAAACAGCTCCAAGGGAAGTGGACGTGGCAAAGCTCCGACGGTATGACCAGAAATGAGATCGATTTCATCATGACGGATAGGAAGCACATATTCAGGGACGTGTCAGTAATCAATAGGTTTAATACCGGTAGTGATCACCGAGTCGTCCGAGGCTTTCTGAATATCAACTTTAAGGCTGAACGTGTCTGTTTGATGAAATCTAAGCTCCGACCAACTCTGCTCCAAGCCATGACAGGATCTGTGTAGTTCCAGTAAAAACTGGAAAACCGTCCGAAACTGCGTCTCGGTAAACGTAGTGTAGGACGCCCACAGGCCAGGTGGAGTGAAGATTTGCGCAAGATAGCCATCTTGCAGGAGCCCAAAATCCATCTAAGTGGCGTGCAATGGGAGAGGCCTATGTTCAACAGTAGACTGCGATAGGCTGATGATGATACAAAGGTCAGAAAAGAGACCAGCCCAGTAATCGTGAGTTATTTTTTTCGCCCGGCGATCACACATGTATTACAATATTAAATCACATTAATAAAATCAGTTTTAGTTTTTAAAATTACCTGAGTTTGCTGTCGGGCGAGTCAGCCAGCGCAGCGACTGCATCGTCTAGTACCCTAGTGGCGGAAGCCCACGACAAATCCAGCTCAATCAGACTGTGCGACCACTTCTCGCAAATCAGCTCCAGACACGCGCTGCTTTGACGCGTTACCTTACAACCTGAGTCGGAAAGAAACAAAATACACGTAGTGTTTATCCAAAATTAAATACATAATAGCTTTTGCTTCCATCTCATGGCGACGACTTAAGCATAAATGTTGATGTCTAGTAAACAGTTATAAAAAAACGTATCACTCAAGATAGTACTGAGATAAAAAGATTTGTAGGTGTTGTGATTTGTGTGCAAGACTGCCAACAATGTTATTTGAAAAGTAAAAGCAATTTAAATATTTTGTTTAATTGATTTACGTTAACAAAAAATAAATTCCATTACACGAGTATATTTAACTGTTTCAACAACGTATGAAACACAAACCTCCAAGGAAAAGATGTTGTAAGTCCCATGCGGGTACCCTGACGAGACCAGAGTCGGAAAGTCGTTGCAAGCCCCGAACATCCAACAAACGTAGACGAGTGGCACCTCGCACGAGTCGCGCGAGTGCATCGTCTCCGAGCCGGTACTCGCCAACTCCTACTCGCTCTGTCGCCGCTTCGCCAGCTATTGATAGCTCTTCCAACGCTGGCCAGCCGTTACACTCCATCTGTTTAGAAATGATATTTCACGGTTAAGGTTATTCGTTATAGGGTCGATTCCTAGGGTTAAATTATTTCGCCCGAATCATTAAATGCAACATCTTAAAGTACAGCCTAAATGGTCCTCCATTATCAATTTGATGTTTGTATATCTTCAAATCAACATGAAATATAAATGATTTGACAATAGCAGATAATAAAAAGAAAATGAACTGATTCGATTTGACAGTCATCTACCCCATTCAACGTTTTAGTTCCTATGTCTCCGAAAACAATGACAACTCATTATGATTTTCTTTGTATAGTAATTAATATAACCTGTTGCGCAGTGCTTGCATTCTGCAACACCAGCTGCGAGTTGGCGGCGCGAAATACACGCAGCTTGGGGCAGCCCTTCTGCATCGCCTCCAGCGGTACAGCGGCGGGGTGCGAGGCGGCTAGGGTACCCGAAATGTCCAATACTTCCAGGTTGCAGCAATGGCTCTATAAAAGATATGCAACATTACTTCTAAACTAAGTCTTAAATATCAACACTTTAAATACTTTTATAAATAACTAATTTTAGACTAATTAAGCAACGAGACAAAAGACACCACATATTATATTCTTTTGCAACTACAAATTAAAAAATAAGATATATTTTTAAAGTTACACAACACTTTGTTTCATTAAATGATGCGTTTTGGTGGAAGTACTATTTCAGAGGATACAATAGCGTGACGAGTAGTGTGAAAGTTTATTAGGACCCTTAAATACCTATATCTTTAATTTTGCATGTTTAAAATAAAATTTAATAACTTTAAATTACCGCTATGGATTGAAGTATCTGTGGCATGGCTACAAATTTATTATTAGTTAAGGTAAGGTGCGTGAGTCGTGCGCCAAAGTTCTCAGAGATACGCGCCATTGAAGCCGCAGAAAGGCATGTGCTCGAACCACCAGTTTCAGACTGAAACAAAAGTTTTTTTTATTTATGTAAGGTTAATAAACAATCAAATCTTCACACACAAAACTTACAGCCTCCATTATCTACAATAAAATTGTAGTGCTAACTGCTGAAACTTTACACATGTTTGTTTAAGAAAAGAAAAAAAATACCTTTAATGTTATGTTAAGGTTTTTAACTCGAATTTGGAATTATTCAATCCATTACTGAGAAAATTCATAAAAATTACCTTCAAAAATTATGCAATGTTTTTGAAACTGGTTTTTATAGATTGCCTTGGTCTTGGATTAAATAATTTCAAAACTAAAATTTATTTCCATTTAATTTTTTTAACTTTGCGCATTTTACATGTTGTTATGAGAAACATGATAATATTCAGAAAATTACTAAATTATAAACGGATAGTTATTTTTAATTATTTTTACAATTGAATGCCGAAGACAAATTATACTATCTATCTGTTTTTAAAGCTAATGTCCCATTTTCAAGGACAGTATAAAGAACAGTTCTGTAAAAAAGTGATATTCATTCTTTTAACAAAAGTATAGATTTTCCTTTTAATAAAGTTGTATATGCCTCTTCACCAGAGATTTCCAAACTAATTTGGGCAAGAGACCCCTTTTCCTAAATGAAATGATACCTCAGACCCCCATAGTCAAATCATTTTAAAAATCCTAGCCCTAGTTTTTCCTATTGGTACAAAATACATTCCACTTTTAAACTTTACCATTGGTTAAGTGAGTGAGTTGACATCATTTTCTAGTGAAAATCAAAAACGTAACACAACTTATACAGTATGTTGAAAGTTTCAAATAAGAATGTGTTAATTCTCGTCTTCCTTAATTCGTCGACAACCAAAATCAGTTTTCGTTTATGTCGACCCTTGAGAAACTGATTTCGACCCCAAGGAGTCTATATCTACCACTTTAGAAATCCCTGCTCTAGACCGTAAAAAAATTATTCAAGGTCAATGCGTGCGTGCATTAGCCTCATTTTAGTTTATTTACTATTAATCTAAAAAACAAAACGAACACAATAAAGTAGTGCCGTAATTAAATTAAGAGGGCTTTTACATTTAGTATTCTTATTCTGAGAAACTATAAAACTTCACCAACTACACTTTTGAAAAATTATGAACAGTTATTAATGTAGATCATAGCAGCATTCATTTTTCTTTCATTCTGGAGTACTACACTGAAGTTAACTTTTGAGCTCATAGATAGAACGAGACAGTTCAAAATAAAATAAAAAATATTATAATGCATCATAAATAGTAATATAGTTCATAGTGAACTAACAAAACTACCAAAATTAGTATTAAAAATTTGTGTCGTTGCTCGTAAGAACTCAGTACTGCACGAGGCTTGCTTAGGAAGGTGCTGTGCCAAATTGACCTACATATTTTGATCACGTATATTTTTTTATTGAATAATTATTTTATATGGTAGAGCTTATTTCAGACTCTTTTTTTTTATTTCATCAAACTATCTTGCTTATCTCACAATTATTTACAAAGAACTATTTACATTAAACGAACATAATTATTATCACAATTTACACTAGCCAATCCCCAGGTAGCTAAGATAGGATAGCTTGTTCCTACTATCCGGCATAGTTTCGTGACGTCCGTGAACCTATAACGTAACTTTATTAAATGGGATTTTGAGATATAGCTCTTAAGTAAATACTTCTATCTAGTTATTAAAACAGTGAGTTTGTCAGCTTGTTTTCTTTGACTGACACAACCATTAGGAAAAAAAAAAGGTTTCAGAAGTCTAGCTCATGTATGTCACTTTTTAGGGTTCCGTAGTAAAATGGCAAAAAACGGAACCCTTATAGATTCGTCATGTCTGTCTGTCTATCCGTCCGTATGTCACAGCCACTATTTTCAGAAACTATAAGAACTATACTGTTGAAACTTGGTAAATAGATGTATTCTGTGAACCGCATTAAGATTTTCACACAAAAATAGAAAAAAAAAACAATAAATTTTGGGGTTTCCCCATACTTAGAACTGAAACTCAAAATTTATATATTCATCAAACCCATACGTGTGGATCGTGTGTATCTATGGATAGGTCTTCAAAAATGATATTGAAAAAATCAAATTAAAAAAATCTAACATAATTTTTTTGAAGTGAAAACTTCTTTAGCGGTGTTGTACACTTTTTTGTAATGGGTAAAAAAATTTAAACTCGCGTCAGGACACGTGACCTGATCGAAAATTCGTAAGACGGATGGAGAGTAGACAGCCGGCGCGGCGTAGGAGAGGAAGTATCCCCCTCTCTTTTTACGGCGCGGCGAAAATGTATGCCTGCGCCTGCTATTTCGTTTAGGCGGCGCAGGGCGCTTGCGCGAATGTTCGTGAGTGTTTATGTTACAGCGTGCCACGCGCATCCATGGATGGTGACAGCGTCTCGATAAATTGTCATGTTTGTGTACGATAGCGCAATAAATAAATATTTTATTCTACCACATAAATGATAGTACTTTTATATTGATAATTAAAGCAATTCGTGCAAAATTATTCCCTAACCATTCCAAAATTTCAAAAATGCACAACGTTAATATTCAAGTTTTCACTTCTGCCGGCACTCCCGGAGTGCAACCCGTCGTTTTTTTTTTAAACTGAATAGTTTGCGCGAGAGACACTTCCAAAGTGGTAAAATGTGCCCCCTCCCCCTGTAACTTGTAAAATAAGAGAATGATAAAACTAAAAAACTTTATGATGTACATTACCATGCATACTTCCACCGTAAATTGGTTTAAACGAGATCTAGTAGTTTTTTTAATGCGTCATAAATCGTAAACCGCAATTTACCTTTTATTTAATCAACTCGAATATTTAAAAAAACATTTAATTTCATACACATAAACCTTATGCATAAACCGTGAACCATTATCGTCGATAGAGACAGATACGACGTTATCTGTTACACATATTTATATAGGATAAACGGTTTTACTTACGTGTGAATTTCGGGGACTCTTTATAGTCATTATTGGCACTCGCACGAAAGTTTTTAAGTAAAACTTTATTTGGATTAACTTTTCACATGCCACCCCTCTCATATGCCACTACACTGTAATGTGCTTTCACCGGTAAGCACTGTACAGTGTAGCGGCAAATCAGAGGTAAAACAACCTATTGTTGCGGTGACTTTGTGAGTTGATTATCAATTTTATAAAGAGCTTTTAGAATATTTTTTAAGCAGATTTATAAAATAAAGATATTAATTTAAATTTGCAATGATGCAAAAAATTCACATTAGTACCGTTAGTGATAAATCAATCCTCTGCAACTTGGGTAAGGCTTGCATGAGATCGAACAGTTGCTCTGAAGTAATGCGGCTCCAACCAGCGACGCTCAACTCGACGAGCTCTGGACAATAGTCCGCTACACACGCTAGCACCCAGGATACGTTGCTTACTTTCCACTGAGCTGTATAAATAAACAATATTATTAGCAAAATATAATTGCGCTCAGGACTGGCAGAAATGTTCAAATTTACGTTATATAGCACAAACACGTTATATACACATTATAAAACAAAACCATATTTTCATATTTGAAACAACCATTTAAGAAAAATAATCATAATTTAGGGAGTTGACGCGAGTTCATCTGAGAATCAATTTTGTTGAAACTTAGCACACATACATATCTTGTTCTAATGACATCACAAGATCAAGCAAACCTGTGTTTGATCTGAAACAAGTTAAGGAAACTCCACAACAGTTAACGGTACCTGTCACGTGGTGTTCAATCTTAATGATACATTTAATGAATGATTGTTGTTTGAACACTTTAAAAACATGTGGGGATCGAACACTCAGTAGGAAGTGGCGAGGTGACCGCTCAAACCACTACGTCATCCGTGCAGTGTTATAAGAAATAATAATGAATAATTAAAGTAAAAGTTAATTTTATAACATACTAGCATTACCCTGCCATGCCCTGTGGCCTGTTGTGGTTCATTGATGAGAAATGAGGAACAAAACTGAGTAGATAAGACCATCTCTGAAGTGGTTCTATACTTGTCAATATTTGAGCATAATCCGTGCAGAACTTTTTGAGGTTTTGAAGCGTACCATACAGTGATGAAAGTATTTATTATATTTTTGACGCAAAAAGAAAAAGTTTTAACATAAATATATTTTTTGCCATGAACACAAGAAAGGAACTGAAGAGCGAAAAATAATATTGAAAAAAAAAACCTTTTTGTCTGACTAAACTCTTAGACGTAAACTCTCTCGTAACGTAAAGACTCTTAAACTATTTACGTTAAATAGCTAAAATAAATTTTGAGTGGTCACCATAAAAGAGTTGTTTTAGTAAGTAAATTTGATTGATGTTATTATAATATATTTCTAATTATGTATCATTAATTTACACATAATATAATGAATGCGAATTCACAAAAGGTGCCTTCCGCTTAAGGATAAAAAGGTGCATTTGTGAAGTTTTGATCGAAAACTGAAGGCCAAGCAATATATTAATTTATATCTGGAGCATTCATGCTTCATATAAGGTTTATAAAAACAAAATTACACACATTTCGACGATTCAAACCATACGCTATTACGCATTATGGCCAAACAAAAAAAAAGGCCAAATTAACATTAATGTATTTATATAATTAAACATTCAAACGCAAAGATTAAAATTACGGGCATTGTCCATAAATGCCCCAAAATAATAATCAATAAAAAAAATAAAATTCATGTTCCAAATAACTCAGTACGTACCAATATTTAAACTTTGACATTGCGACAACCGGTTTTCCAGGAGCCATACGAGTTTGTAATCTGTTTTACATTTTTCACTAGTATATTGCGCAAGATCTACATTCTTCCACAATTCTGCTCTACAGCTTACACTGTGCCATAACTTACACACCCTACCAATTCTGAAAACAGAAAGTGAATATTAAATAATCAAGTGTTACAAATGCTCGTTGTTTCATTACACGTTTAAATGTTAATAAATACCTGATCACGGAGGGCAAAGTGCCCTCGGAGTCTACAACATATTCAAATATCTTTAAAAGTATCTCCTTGGGCATCGAGTGCCCCCATGGACTTTGTGGTCTGGTCTCCTTACTTACAGCTCCACTAATTCTAGTTCTTTCAGTCTTTTCACTTTTCTCTGTAAATAAATAGTATACAAAATTTAGAAAACGTGGCATTATACAACACAGAGAAAGATCACGATCAAAACAACTACATACCTACACTACGCAGAAATTTACACTGTTACCCTGATAATTGATTAAATGGTGAGGATTTGATATATTTTGATTCGATTTTAAGATTTTGATAGGATTTGATAGGAACGATCCTATCATGCATTTCGAGTTTGGAAAAACTTAAATTTAAAATTTCGCAATAGTTAAAAATCCCTCTTGGTCAACCAAGAGAGATAGAACCACACAATAACCGCAGCTCTGACTTTTGTTGGCATTTCCACTTTATTTTTATAAATTAAACCAATGTGTATAAACTTATTTTCTATTTCACTATAGCCAGAAACTTGTTTATTTAAAATCAATGCAAAAGTTTCTGGCAAGTGTTTGAAATTTTAAAGAAACAACTACATATGTGCAAGTTATTGTTCTACTATGTAGTAGTAGGTATCGAATCTAACAGCATTTGTTTAGAAAGGTGACCAACATAAGCCCGCTCTCCGTGCAGTCGCAATGCGGGTGGCAAGGGCTGTATTATATAATAGAAGCCGCAAAACATCAATGAAATCAGTTCAATCTTACTCAGGCCGATAAGATAAACTGTCAAAAAAGCTTTCCCTTTTATGCAAAAATATATTTATAAACTAATTAACTAAATTATACTATTATTATGTGTTTACATACTTTTACTTTTAGAAGTGTTAGCCTTCTTCGGCTTCAGAGGTTTTACAGTCTTGGGAGGGTGGCGCGGTTTTGGAGCAGCGACGCTCATTGCAGCAGCGGTGTCACCACGCGATGGGTCGTACTCCTCACCAGAACTCACGCTTACCGGTGAAGCAGTCCGCTTCTTCTTAGACTTCCTCTGGCCGATGTCGGCTATTGAAGTCGGCGTTGGTGTAACCTGACATATTTAGTTACAAAATTTAGATGTAAAATATTAGTATTGCATCACATTAAATATGATAAAACAATAGTGATGTTTCGAAAACATCATTAAGGTAAGCAATTATGCGAAATTATATTCGACAAATATTACGCGACTTATAATAAAACTATAACAGTTCTGATTTTTTGCTTTGAGGATAGTTTCGATACTGAAACCGAGACAACTTTTTTATTCGTTGTTACTGAACGACACGACTGCTTTTTATAGCGAAAACCATCTTTGTAGGTGGCAAACGTAAAGGTGTCGGAACTTGGCAAAGGACCCTTTCATTTGTCTAGTTTATTTTAATTTTCGTAAAATTATAAATTAAACACAAATATTGTTTTTTTTGTCACGAAAATAGAGCAGTGGGAAACGAACTTCCCTAAAGACCACGCTTTAAAAAGAAACAAGTACTTTGACTTAACCAACGAAATAACTAAAAATGGCGATGTCGTTACGTTCTATGCCGTGGAAGTTGGTGCGAGGGGTATGCCAGCTAAATTCCTCTATAACCTGCTTAAAGACCTTAGATTGCTAAGAGCTTCGATAAGCTCTTTTCTTGAAGGAATATCCAAAGCCGCATTGCTAGGCTCGTATCAAATATGGTTAGTTAGAGGGGGTAACACAGCAGACAGGGGAGGTGAGTGCTGACGCGTCGCAGGGATTACTCGATAAACCTATACCTGGGTCGCAATTCCCAGGCGCTGTCAAAGTCGCATGTGTTGCCCCCAACTGTCACGCGATGGACCCGGCACCCGCACGGTGAATCCATGGAACGCTAAGAAATACGAGCCCTGTGTGAAATTTTCTCTGTGAGATTTTTTCTAACTTCATTATTTTTGTATATCTACATAAAATATTAAGCTGTTCTACTATCATATGTAGTTTCATATCATAGTGTACTTATGCCATTTTTTAATTATGAACCAATAAACTAATTTAGCCTTTTAAATTTATACATATCCTGTTTTACATTCGAAGAATTGTTAATTGATGCAAAAAAGTTCGTCTATCGGTGAGTTCAATAAGATTATTCCTTCTTTGTACAATTATTTTGCATAATTTAAATTTGTAAAAGTAATTCTGTGTCATTTGTCAAGTGAGACAGTATAAATTCTGAAAATTTCAGTCTTTTTCATTAGTTTTCAAATAACAATGGGTCGTGGCAAACCCGTGTGTGAAGAGCTTCGAAAGCGAACAGTTTGTGGGGTCGATGCTGGCAAATCAAGTTACAAAATATCTAAAGACTTGATACTTCCCAGGTCTACAGTCCAATCTATCATTCAGCACTATAAAAAGAATAGAATGACTTCTTGTTTGAAGAAAACTGGTCGACCACGCATCACAAGTGCAGTAGAAAACAGAATCCTAAAGAAAATTATCAAAAATAATCGTCGTACTCGAGCTGGAGAACTCACAATGGTGCAATGGAAGAACATGATTCACAAAGAGGTCTCAGTTGACACTTGCAAAAGAGTCCTAAAAATAATGGGTTACGGATTTTACACCGCTAAGGAGAAACCACTGTTGACTGCTGTACAAAAGAAAAAGAGGTTGAAGTTAGCTCGTGATCATTTAAATTGGACTTCCGACCAGTGGCGTAGTATCATTTGGACTGACGAGTCCAATTTTGAAGTGACAGTCGGAAAAGGAAAAAAGTGATTCGGAACAAAAATGAGGCATTTCATACTGATTGTCTCAAATGCAAAGTAAAGTTTCCGGCGTCTCTTATGATATGGGGCTGCATGTCTGCACAAGGTGTTGGTGGTATGCAGTTTGTGGATGGTTCATCAATGTTAAGCATCAAGATTCCTTCATTTTTCAACAGGATGGTGCTTCCTGCCATACTGCAAGGACAACGAAGACGTGGCTACTTGCGAAAAGCATCTCTACAATCGAATGGCCATCTAACAGCCCGGACTTGTCGCCGATCGAAACCCTATAGTGGAAATTGAAAAAAGTTCTCCGTAAAAATCCATCAAGATCGAAGAGCGACTTAAAGGCTAAACTCTTGGCTGTCTGGGAGTCAATTACGCCTGAGGAGTGTGCAGCGTTGGTTGCAACCATTCCTCTTCGCATTAAAGGTGTCATTGAAAGCAAAGGCGACACAACTAAGTGGTAGACGAATTATTTTGCGTGAGTGACAAGGGTAGACGAATACTTTTGCGTTGTTTTTTAGAATATTTAAAAAAAAAAATGTTATGTAAAATGTTGGTATAGTCATGAAAGAATTTCAGTTATGTTAAAATAAACTTTAAAATGTTCCTTAAATTGTGGTTTACTTTTTATTAAACGTTCTTAATTATTTTACCAATATTTACTTTCTATATTTTACGCTTTGCACTACTTTCCATACTAGACGAACTATTTTGCATCGGGGCTCGTAGGTCTTATTACTATAGCATTTATGAAAAATACTTATGGATTTAAGAATGATAGTCTATTGAGGTTTAAAATTACAAACCATAGACATTCTGAAAGTGAAACGGGTTTGGACAGACATCTATTAAAAAAATCAAAGGCAGTTGGATGTTCAATTTGGAGGTTCGCTGCCATGACACTTTCCTTCCCTATCTACTGTATACAACACGTAATTTTCATAGTATAGAGATGCGGTATTGAAAAACAGTATTATATTAATATTTTTACTTTTAGTAATTAAGGTTTGTAAAGTTAGTAGTCAGATCCTTTAAACCACCAATATCAACAACAAAATCGATTTATATTTGCAATAAAGCTCTAGCGATTAGTCTAGAAAGTGATGTTTAAAAATATATTATATTTGCTTGCACTGAAATAATGCAGTCATATATTTTCTTGTAAGTGTGTCACGATTCATCAACACGATTATTTGAATATAATTGAAAAAAATCAAAATGTCATCTCCAACCTCTTTGGTCTTGATGAAGGCAGAAAATGACTGTTATAAATCCGAGTAAAACTATTTTTGTTATTATCTGTGCTGTGTGAATACGTTGCGTTCAAGTGTCTTTCAAAAGTTAGCGAACATATTAAACATTATCAATACATCGCACCGCGCTTATACACAGTAGGTACACAATTTCCTTACACTAATAAACAGACACTACAGAGGTAAAAAATCCGTAAAATTGTAAAAAATACAAAAATTTATGTCTAACATTTATATAGCTTTCTTTGTCGTAGTCGACACTTAGTTTAATGGAACTGTAACAGATCTAATTCTGTACATTGAAAGTGTTTTAACATTTTTAGCAAGGGTCTGCATTTTTTTTTCCATTTTTGTTTGTTTTGTAAATGCGCATATATGTTCGTACTTAACGGATGCATAATAGGTGTTCAAACTTTGTGTAGGAAACTAATCATTTGTTAAATTTTTGTTGAATGAATCTTGGTATTAAGGTATTAAGATTGTTAAGATTTCGAAAAAAGACATAAGGACTTTATGCCATGAAAATAAAAACTTTGAAGCTGGTTAATAAGGGAATTTGTATGGGACACAAATTAGCTTATTTAAATATGCAATGCCTGCTTTTTGGTAAAAACACCAGCACAGGTACTTAGAAGGTATACATTTAATAATATGCTCAGTGTGGTCTTTGGACATCTCAAGCTTTTCGACCATGAAAGATGTATACAAACTTATAAAACAGATATCTTTACCAAGTTTTCAAATTGATGTATACATGCCTGTATATTGGTAAATTACTTTGATAACTCTGTTTTGTCACTATGATTGAATAAAATTTTTGCAAAGTGGATGTAAACATGATATTGGCACTATTTTTACATTATACTTATTTTTGAGGAGTACATGCTATGATAAGGGTAATTAAGATTAAGCTAAAATACCCCCTCTACCAAGTCTTTCAACCTTCCGAAGGGCCCGAACTATTACTTAGATATTATTTGAAAAACTGTCATCCACTGCTGGATATGTATGACTTCTCTCTCAACATCTTTTATCTTTATCTTTTATCTTTAAAAAGACAACTCCCGCATTAGGAATAAATCTTGTGTCGCGGGGGACTTTACAAACATACATGAAACGGACACAAAGAACACCCAGACTCAGAACAACAATCTGTGGATCACACAAAGTGTCGTCCCATGTGGGGTTTGAACCCACAAAACTCGGCGCAGTAGGAAGCGGCGTGGCGACCGCTTAAACCACTACGCCATTGGTGCAGTCACAGCAAACAAGAACATCATGAGCAAATAAATTTAAACTAGCGTAAATGTTAGCTAATGAATTTTTTAAGGCTGAAAGATAAATTAAATCAAAATAGTCATGAGACTTATAAATATTATGACTATTTTAATTATAAGATATATCTTATAATTATTTTGACGATATATGATAATAAAGATATTCTATTTATTTATCTATGAATAAAACCAGCTGGTCAAAGAGGTTGACAATAAATTTCTATTAAGCGCAGTTGCACCTATTTAATATATATTAATTGATGACTCTAACTAATCCATACTAATATTATAAATGCGAAAGTGTGTCTGTCTGTCTGTGTTACCTCTTCACGCTGGAAACACTGAACCGATTTAGATAAAATTTGGTATAGAGATAGTCTGAGTCCCAGGAGAGGACATGGGGTAGTTTTTATATTAGAAATCAAATCACGCTTTAATTGGGTGAAAAGGAGGATGGAAGTTTGTATGTGGAATCAAGAACCGCTGAACAGATTTAGGTGAAATTTGGTATGGAGATACTTTGATTGTTGAGGAAAGACATATGCTACATTTTACCGCGATAACCGATAACGGAGCTGCGGGCAAAAGCAAGTTTATTATATTTTTGTCACTTCACTAGATGTGATGTAGTGTGTAATGTGGTGGTATGGTTGTAAATATTTCCATATCTATAGCAATTTACATATTAGTATGACCACATAGACTAGCTGTTGTTTAGGTGTAATCTATCAAGATATTATTTAAAGACAGCATTTCCAAGTCACTACCGAAGTGAGCTCCATAGTGCTAGATCTAGCTCAAGCAAGAGGCCACTAGATACCACTAAAAAAATATTAAAATGATTATTGTGTGTATAAGTGTTTTCAAAATTAGCAGTAATAAGTAGGATCTGCTGTAATTGTATGAGAAGACCCTATCAAAATTTATAAAAAAAAAAAACAATTTTGATTTTGCACCTATTTGTTTAAAAGAAAATATATGTGCTACTTGTTGAGTTAAAACTTAATATGAAAAAAACATTTAACCAATAAACTACAAGGTGTTGGCTGTTTGATAACACAAACTGTGGTAACTAATATATGGATTATAAGGTACCTAATAAAATCTAAATGTGACTAGACATTTAGATTCCTAAGAATTTTTCTTGCAGAAATATTGCTATGATATTTCTTTTTAAAAAAAAAAGTAATATATGTGTTATTTCCGAATATAATTGATATCTTTGCTAAATTTAATCCAAATAGCCAACCTCCATTTCCATGAAAGTTTGAATGGATGGAGGTTAGAAACTTCCATCCATTCAAACTTTCATGTTTATATGTACTAATGTTTTATTATTATTAATGGAAGTTATATCATTACTTTAAAAAACTGATGCCATAGTATCAAAAATATCACAAATCTTTAGAACAAATACTACTTTAATTCACTTTAAGTTTTTTCCTAAAATCATGGCCTGCTTAGAACAAAATTATATTAATTAATAAGCAATGGTCGTAGTATTGTGTGTAATTTTGACATTAATAATAGCAGAATGGTAAAACAGAGCCCATAACATGATAAACGCTGCAAGTCTACTTGTTTCATTATTAGTCATTTCTATGATATGTTATTAATTAAATAGGTCAGGTGCAAGATAATCTAATAACCCAAATTAGTTTTAAATTTTTTATCCCTAAGAACAAAATCTAACATATTCATTTAGTGGGTATTAAGTGAAACTAAGCAAAAGCTTTTAACTTAAATAGACTTCAGAGTTATATTCTCTTTTGGCAGTTATATTTTGTTATTTTGCCAAAACAAAAGGCAAAGTATCAAAAATTAAGTTACTGGGCATTCCTACATCATAAAGGTACTAGTGACCTATAACAGTGTAGAGACAATCATCTAGCCAAGTTTTCATAACACCGTCTAAAACAGGTTATAATACCAACCAAAAACTAGCTGCTTATATGAGAGCTAGGCCACTGATTATATAGTGAATTTGAACAGGGTCATTACCTTTCAACTAATTTCATTTCGAAATAGTTTAAACCTATAAGTTTAAACAAATATAATTTTATAATTGTTTACAAACAACATCCCAAATATTTTCTGTCTTAACTTATTGTGTTAATGTTAGTTATGCAATTACATACTAATAATAATTTCAGCTTACTTTAAACGTTTTCTTCATATACAGACTGCATGTATTATAATTAAATAAAATTAAATAAATAAGTAACTGTGGCACAATGTAAATAAAGGTGTTTATATAAGAAAAAACCTACCACGAGTAGTTTACACTTTATCTCTGATTTGAAATAAAAAAATATGTGTATATATACAGTGTAGTACAAAAAATTGAGAAATACTTACAGTTTCATGTACACTTGTTCTTCTAATCTTTATCTTTATAGAGTTAGTATCCAGTATCTGACTGCGATATGTGGTTGTACATTCAGACTTTTTTGATTTCTTTTTACTACGCGAACTGCAAATGTTCAACATAGACCGAGGCTTACCACTACATGGTATAATTGCATGAGTTCTTTTCTCTTTTGAGTCTCTCTTGCTCTTTTTTGTGGATAATTGACTAAGTTCATGACTGTATGGTTTACCACTTTGCCGTGATATAGTTAACAGTAACTTTGAATTGTGCTTGAGCTGTTCATCTTCAGAACTTTCACTATCTTCTGCTTCATCTTCTTCCAACACTTCTTCTTCTGTAGATTCTGCACACTCTTCTTCATCCTGACACTCACTACTACTCACTAAGTTTAAGTTTTTACCACCTTTCACTTGTGACAACACAACACTACTTTTTGAATGTTTCCTATGAGATGAATCTTTTGAGTCTTTTCTCCTTTTACTTTTGGGAGGTAAACAACCATTCATAGTGGAGGCTTTAGAGCTATGTCGAGAGTGATGCTTATGTTTCCTATGACGCGGCCGGGTCGGACAAGGAAGTACCCCATTGGCCACTTCAAGCTTCTGCTTGGCGATTTCGTCGATGCTCTGTTCGAAATCAGTTTCTAGCTTGACACAGGACAATGCGTCGTCACCTTCCTGGTCGCTTTCGCTACCAGAATTGACTGATGACAGTTTAGACAAGCGAACTTCTGGGAAGAGATCCTTGCGGACGGTGAGCCTTGCGGCCTCGTAACCGCCGTTTACAGGACTTGATCGACCAGACATACCGCCCACCTCCCGCCACCCTGCGTACAACTTCTACAAACCACTCACCTGTCCGCGAGGTAAACAATCATTTGACACATCACATTTTCACTTTTGTGACCAAGCAATTCACCGATCGTTAAGCGATGGCTTGAATAGGTCAATGGTTGGCTATAATCGTAGTGAGAAACATTATAATTTCTTCAGTTTGCACTTCTTGTGCGTTCCAAACATCTTTTTTTCTTCACATATTCGCATTTTAGGTCATCCATGTTCATGTAACGTTGTGATTGCGAAAAACAAAGTACAGATCATTTTCGCGGACACTTGTACTTGAATATTTGGTGATGACACATAAAATGGTCGATATTCGAAAGCATGGACATAATACACACTTATTTTTAATTATTTTCGTCTACTGTGGGTTGATGAAAACTGTTGACCTTGTTTAGAAGCTTATTATGTTTCAAATTTTAATCAACAGATGCAGACATTGTCACAAAAAAGTTGTGGTTGTTTGAGCACAGTAACCTTGGTAAGGCGTATTTTTTGCTCTAAAGACATTAGATTTCAAAAAATATCTAAACATCTATATAAATTCATTTGGATTATTCTATTAATATGAAGATTTTTTATGAGCTATATTTTGCAAAAGCAATATATGTTTTGTGAAGGTACTTAAATAGAAACCGCGTTACTTTACACATTACCCCTTTACAAGCATAATGACAAATGTCAAATAGTGGTGTTTTCTACTTTGTATGTTACTTATTGTGTTTCAAAGATTAGAGATGGCGCCACTTGTTAAATTTACAGAAATTCAATACCTACGCAAAGATACCTATATACATTTTTTTGCTTTGCTTCTCTTTCTCTCAAATGTTGTTGGATTTTACTTGTAGAATTAGCACCGAATAGCAAAAATGGTTGTATTAGTTGCATTAGCTGAATATTTTAATCGAAAAATACTGAAATGTGAGAGAGTGGGCGATTTGTGACGACGTATGTATTGTGTGTGACATTCATCAATAGTGATAATGATAACCTACACCGTCTTTCTGTAGCAGGGTACATAGCTGGTGAGTCATATTTATATTTATTACATTTGCTGTATATACATATCGATGATCTCATACATAAAATTGTAATACTGGCTTACACTTCATTGCTATGCTTTTTATGTCTCGTCAACAACGATATACCTACCCATATTATAGACTTGTATTACTTCTGCTTGATAACATTGAACTATTTTTATTTTAGTTTTTTTTTGTTATTTATGATAATGTACCTTTGGCTTATTGACTATTATACTAATATCAATATTGGGACTATAATATACTAAATGAAAAATTACAGTTTCTCATAAATCTAAACTAAACGTTACTGTTTAGTCATGATTTGGTACATTGATATCGAAAAACTATGATCTTATAAACAAATTACATATTACTTTATAAGGTATTCATATATCATTACAATGTTTATTAGAAGAAACGTATTAACCTACATAACAACATAGGAGCAATTAATTATCTGATTTCAGACGTTTAGAATACTATATAAAAAGTTCTTTATGGTCTTGCAAAAGAAATTTGATCTGGTAGGTAGGTATCTATGCGTTTCCTACATAAATATATTGGACTACCTAATTAATAATTTAAAATAATAATAGGTACCTACAATTTAATTTCTAATGATAGTTGAGTTACATACTCTAGAGCAGTTAAAACGTGCCATTGTAACCTTGGGAGAAAGTGAAGGTAAATTAAATAACTCTGTACCTGCCTTTCTACCTTCTCTTTAGATAGTAGTCAATACATATATAGGTACCTTCATTATATTATTGGGTAAATTATATAGTGCCCCTTCGTAGGTCGAAAACACAACGTGCGGTTCGCGATTGGACGTTGAGATGCCCATCGTTCCACCTTGAGTATAGCGCCGTTTTGGAAGACATGATCAAACCAAGTATTGAACGTGTGAAGTGGTTCTTTGTCGCAATATTTTCAGAAAGCATGTCGGAGGAACATCTGGTTCCTTAAGTTTATCCGAACATAGTAGTTACCACTTTTCTTGAGGATCAGATTGCTTTCCAGGCATTTCAATTTATTACTGATTTTACTTCATACTCACAAGGTTTAGGACTTTTTACCATTAATGTTATAATATTGACATTTACTAACACAATCATGTAACCAAGCTTAAATTAATTAAAATAATTGTATTGGTTCGTACTTTAAAAGTTAATTAGTTACTATACATATTATTATATATAAATTATTTACATTTGTAAATCATAATCATAACTCATGTGTAAGTTTTTTTTTTCATGTACCTAATTCTTTTTACCTGTTAAACTAAAAATACATATTTTTAAAATCAGAACTACATTACTTTAACAACATGTGCTCGCACGGAACAAAAGTACCGATATCGGCACGGGCCTGGAGCGCAGTACTCAAGGTACAGGACCATATGTGACACTGATAGTCTCATTACTCGTTTTACAAATCGAACGCAGTACGGTGTCGATTTATTTCCGCACGAATATCTTGTGTAGTACGAAGTAGATATGGCTATGGCGTCACTGCGAAATGACATTTGCTCGTTTTGCAATTTTCGGTCTATTGTGCACTTTTCATGGGTCATAATTCCTAAATGGGTGAATTCAATGTTCGTGACATCTTTTGATACGTCTGTCACGCCGTCGTAGCATTAGATACATTTAAATTTAAATTTCTATTATCCACTTAGACGGGACGGTCTCAGCCGAGAACTATGAAACTGACAAAAATCATTCGGAATTTAATTGACAGTGCGTACCGGGTGTATTTCCCATCGCGGAACATGACATGCGAAAATATACAAACCTGGCGATGAAATATCGCTGTGAGAACAGGCCCTTACATCATCACCACATCACATCAACAGCCTTTAACATTCCACTGCTGGTCATATGCCTCTCCTTAGGAAGAGGCTTTGGCCTACTATACCACGCTGGCCAGACGGATTGATATAGGGTTTGTATCAAGTTTTCATTCTCTTTGCAGAGCTGTTGTCCTGCTTAGTTTGCTCTCTTAGTCGGCTCTTACGGCACCCACGGGATGAATAGGGGTGGTGACACTCCGTATTCTTAATCCGTCACCACACGGACACTTAGGCCCTTACGCTACGGAACAATACACGTTTTATCCATTCTCATTTTGCGCAGTAATCGCCAAAGAACTCTTTGAGAAATTATAGGATAAATTAATTGTGGTTAATAATTTTATCTAAAGAGCTAGAAAGGTATTACCTATGCCCAATTAAATTATTTTCTCATGACAAAAAGAGAAGGCTCCTACCTAACTGCATAACCTACACGTCAAAACTAAGGAGGCAATTAAGCCAATTATAAAATTGCCTGTTACAAACACGTAATTAGACATTAATATTGTACCCTCATCATTTATCATCATTAGTTGTAATGTTTTACGCCGACATACTTAAATAAATATAGGATTACAAAGTTACGTAGGTAGTATTGTTGATGTATAAGTAAAAATACATTGACACAGTGAAATAAAAGAAAGAAAGCTTTTTTTAATAACTAAAAATATTATTTAACAGAATTAGAATATAGTATTGTAACATGTACATAATGAGAATACAATATAGTATTAAACACAGTAATAATTAATATATTTATAAATTAAAATTTTAACCATTTATATAAATTTCTAATATATTCTTAGACATGATATAATAGCATCACTAAAAAACCTCCGACACAAAGAAAACTTAAAAAAATGACAACTGCTCATTGAGACTGTTATAATAATCCCAAACATGGTATATATGCTGTAATTTTCTGAGGAGTTGGCTATCCCGCAGACTACTTGTTGCAGCAGCAAGTTTCAGATTATCATGTCGTGGAAATACCATCAAAGTAACAGTATACTAAATTTCAGATCAATCGGATCTGTGAATTTTAGTGAGATCCCTTCATCGCCTAAGAAGTAAGCTGATGATCTTTAAAGTTTATAACTAAAAACCATCTCGATCAAATCGGCTATCGAACAAAAAATCCGCATCGAAATCGGTCCATCCGTTCGGGAGCTATGACGCCACAGACAGACAGACAAATACACAGATTAGCAGATACACGGGTTTAACCTATATATAACACCTCTCGCCCCACCCCTTTTCCGTCGGGGTTAAAAAGAGATGTTGCTTAGTATAATGCTGCACCACTATACACCTCTGATTTTCAGCATCACCTCGATAGTGATAGTGCGTCTAAAACAGTCCAGATTTAAATTTGTTTTGCAATAATATTATTTAACAACAAGATTTTTCTTGAAAAACTTTTTACAGAGTATCGCAGACAAATAATAAATATAAATACGAAATAAATGTACATATCAATGAGGAGTTAAATACTTGACGATTTTTAAGGATTTTATTTGTTTGTTTAATAAATATTTTTAATTGAGTTTTAGACGTTTATTTTTTTAATGTTTTTTGTAGACTTCAAACGAAAGATGTACACATAATCACTTTATACAAACAATAAGTTTTTGGTTATTGCACTCTGCAATTATAAGAAATCACAGCATGCACTAAAATGTTAGGTATTAACATTTAGCTTTATAAAAAAAAATATAAAAGATAAAGAAGAAAATAAAATAAACTGAAAAGTGGAAATACAATTCCACTTTTCAGTTTATTTTATTTTTTAAACAACCGTACAAAGTTTTTTAAATTTCGATATGGGTTCACAGAAGTTTATTCCATGAGCCTTGAACAACGCATTATACAAAAAGTGACCTAAAGTAGTGTTAGAGTGTGATGCCATGAAAAAGGTAAAACTTGACGACCCAAAAGGATTAGTGTAATTATCTTGGGTTCAAAATTTCCAAACAACATGGTGGAAAAGTGTTATCAAAATAAATAACGATTGGATCTCACTTTTTCACTTAAATAGTGAATTTAAGATACACTTAAATATAAGTATTTAACAAAATTTATTGATTCAA